ACAAAGCTACAAAAATCATCTCCCAACATTCTACACTCATCCTTCACTCATATTAGGGTAAATATATACACTCATCTCAATTGATTGATGATAGTTCATTAAAATACAACTCTGTTCTTCATTACTTCTCTGGTCAGGCATACACAAAAGGGAATTGCTTGGTAAGTCTAAAATTTGATCTTTGGTTGCTTTGTTAATGTAAGCACTAATAATGGATTATTTATTATTTGCACAATTAACACTCTAGTCGTCACTCATTTATCAATTATCAATTGTCAATTATCAATCTTTAAGATGGGGACGCCACTTAGGTGTGTATTTTAACCCAAATATGAGTGAAGGATGAGTGTAGAATGGTGTGAGATGATCTGTGTAGCTTTGTTACTGACTAAGATCAGCTGTTTCATTAGCCAGGGCTTTAAATAAATGATCCTGGCTAATGAAACAGCTGATCTTAGTCAGTAACAAAGCTACACAGATCATCTCACACCATTTAGTTGCTAGTTCAGTAATTACTGTATGTTCATGGGAACACCCCACAAGGAGTCAGAAGGAAACCTTAAGTAGGGGCATAGCATGATATGGACATCAAATTAAAGGCAGTATAAAATAGGTTTTCAACCTAGTTAGTTTTTTTTTAGTTTTTAGTTTTTTAGTTTTAGTTTTTTTTTTTACGTCGTCAATTCTTGAATAGTCTTACAAGCGACTAGATTCCAAGCTTCCCAAGTTCCAAGTTTCCAAGCATTTCCAAGTTTTGTCGTCTAACATAAAATTATTGGAACATGATGCCGTCGTCAAAATGTTCCACACGATGTCGTCAAAATCATGTTCCAATAATTTTATGTTAGACGACAAAGCTTGAAAATGAAACGCCAGTTTCGAAACTAGTCGCTTGTAAGACTATTCAAGGATTGACGACGTAAGGTACGTAAACCTATTTTATACTGTCTTAAATCAGTCCTGGAGGCAATGCTGAATAAATTAAAGGCATTTGCTAACAGAATACAACGCCGCAAATTTGAACTCAACCGGACAACCGAGTCAAAAAATTACAGTGGATTAAAGATGAATTGAATTTGCAATGCTATTATACGCTACCTCCTCAGGGGGCAGCCACTAGGAATCGGAAGAAAATCGTAAACGTAATCATAGGTCATCATGTACACCAAATTAAAGGTCTTTATTTGTAGATTACAATGCTACGAATTCGTGCTCAAAAGAACAACTGTGTAAAAAATTAAAGACGTTCAAAAGATTCGAAATAGCAGATTCAAGAAATCTTTGAATGGCTGCCATTTTCGACTCGGTTGTCCTTTGAGTTCAAATTTGAGGCATTGTATTCTGCTAGTAAAATACCTTTAATTTGATATACCTTCTAAAATACCTTCTGACTCCTTGCGGAACGTCTCAGTATTACAGAAAACTGATAGTTCCTTCAAAGGAGATTTTTAGGTTTTATGTTAATGAACCAAAACCTTATTGATTTATCTGTTATCGTTCAGAAAGTAACCTGTGCGGGAATTTATTTACACCCTGTGCAACACCAGAAGACAAGCACTATTTGTACAAAATTGTTATATCAAAGTTATATTCAGTTGAAATATTTTAGGCAGCTTAAAAATAAGGAAAAAACTTTTAACAAAGCACCCATGCACAGTCAGAACTATTCTCAAATTTGGCTGAGTGACGTGGATGGAAAATTTATTGTAAATACACACTGTAGAATATGTTGTATGGTAAAATACATTTTTATAGTCGACATAATCTCTGACGTCACCAGACTTGTCACAAACGGATTATTGGTCCAGGATGAATATTGTTGTCAAAATGTTGTTAGGCAACATCGCTGAATGTGTAAACAGTTTATCCTCCGCTTCAGCAAAATATACAGGCTATTGACACTACAAGACCGCGATCTAGACTAAGTGGGTTAAATAATGTTATAAGAGATCAGATGTTTTGTTATGTCAGATGAGATGTTAAACCTTAGGTTTCATGGGATCTTAAGTATCATATCTTAATTCTACTTGAGACTCATGGCTAATTTATCTCAGACTAGCAGAGTACCCGTTCTTCGTACGGGGTTGGCGTATAAGTATAAAATGCTTATTGCAGTTATACTCTAGATTTGCGTTTGCAATGGGGAGAGGATAATAAGGGGAGAGGAATAAGGCTTGAGAGAATTTGGTTCTTTATATTTACGGTATGCAGGTATAGTATAGTATATACAGTATAGTACTACACTTCTACCATAGCCAGAACAGAATCATTACGGTAAACAATCCTACTTTGACAGTTCTCATTGTGTATCACAGCTTTTTGATGCTGCTTACTTCAAATTAGCTGTTATCATAGTTTCAACAAATATAATAGTGCTGCACCCTGTTGGTAAACCTTATAACGTTTTAATGCTATTAAATGACATGGAACAAACTTGTTTGGCCGAATCAGCTGACAAAAATTTTAAATTCCTTTAAAATGTGAATACCTGTACGGTTAACATCGGAAACTCCAGAGCCACTGGGGCGGAGCCTGAAAGGGGTTTTGAGGTAACATTATGCCTATATGTTAATCGGGAATGTGAGCTATCATCACACGAAATTTCAGACCAATGCGACCAGTATTTTTCGCGTTTACTTGTCATAAACATCCATACATACATGCATCCAAACTTTCTCATCTATAATATTAGTAGGTAATTTTCATACCACTTGGATTTTTAAATTGTTTAAAACTAATTTTTCGTCATACTGCAGCAAAACAGCCGTTTTAATACATGATTTCCAGGTCCCTTTAGGGAGTAAAAGTCAGCTGTTGTAAACTTCGATTTTAAGCAATCGCAAGTATAAAATCACATTGATTTTATATTGATTTAACATTTAATTTAACATTTTATTGTATACATTGATTTAATCAATTAATTGTGGCTTATTGCATTCTTGGAGTGTAGGAGTTTTGCCAACGGGTATCAGGTAGAAAGGGTCCCCCTCCATGAATTCCACATACTGCGGAGTTTTGCCAACGGTTGTGGGTTGAGCGAGAGCGATTACACGTGACCGTGAGAGTGGCTTCCACTAGGGGTGGACAAACCAGGCAGGATGCTGACTGTATTCAAAGTAATGGAGTTATGCACCTCTGACTGTGAAAGGAAATGTATTGAATTTTTAACCTAACCTAACCTAACCTAACCTAACCTAACCTAACCTAACCTAACCTAACCTAACCTAACCTAACCTAACCTAACCTAACCTAACCTAACCCACTGCGACAAGCGCATAACTGCCAAGCGTAGACAACCCTGACAATCGCTCTCCCTCCCTCCCTCACACTCTTTCTCCCACCACCGTTGGCAAATCTCCGCTCCAAGAGGTGGCCGAAGGCATCCCCCCATCTACCTGACACCCGTTGGCAAAACTCCGGTTCCCGCATTCTTGTCAATAGTTCGTCATTTCGATAATATAATGTACACTAACACAATCATCATAATATATGAAATTATATAAAAATAGCGAAGAAAAATGACTATAGTAGTGAAATGTACCATTTCAACCCTAGCTCATTTTCTAACCTTGGCTTTCCCCCGGTTGTGAAAAAAGGCCGAAAAGAGTCACTTTACGCCCTAGTGATGAAATATTTTTGCTTCCTTTTGGTCAATTATTTCACTGTTGTCATCCGCACTCCGATACCTGAAGTGTAACACATTTACCAATAGAAAACTCTTATAAATAATTAAATACTTCCACCACTGCTAACCATCAGACCAAGCGAATTTCCATTTTCCTGCTTTGATTTTCCTATACATCTATTTAAATAACAAGTTTATCGAGTACCTAGGTTTGCTGCTACAGGGAACATAATCACACTAGAGTTCATTGTCAACAATAATCCACTTCTAGTTAAAAAAAATAAACTCTATATAGATAGAAGATAGTTACTCATACAAAGCTATGCCCTTAATTTCAAGAGAAGAAATGTTAATCATTAACTAGAGTTCGCCAATACTGATTTAGCTTGCGAAACATACTATTTACCGATTTCAGACAAGAAAACATACTGACATTGTGTTAACGTAAAAGTTGAAAAAAGTAACAAGCTATAAATTGATTTACGGATACTAAACCGAACAGTTTAACTTCAGTCAATAGACAAAAGCTGTGTACTTTAACCAAGTTAAATTCGCGATGGTTAGCCTAACGATAGAATGGTCCCTTATTTATATGCTAAGAGAAATTTTAACTTATAAATATATATAAGAATTTTAAACGAAATAATCCAAGACACCCCACAAAACTGATACAGTACTAGGGTTAAAAATGATAAGTCACATTTTGTCAATACTTTGCAATGAATTTAGGTTAATAAATTTAAATTTGTTCTGTTGAGTAGATTAAAAAAAACTCTACTACTGTTGTAGCACATATAACACATTGCAAATGCAATAATGTTTTCTTGTTGTATACAATTGTATGTACAGTACCATTTATTAAAATTACTGTTACTAAAAAAACGAGGTATGATTATCGACACCTTTCTAACAGGTTCTGAGATATCAGATATAATATTGAATCTCTTGTTTTCTTATTTTGACTCTTTTGTAAGTGTGCGTTATAGATTTTAACTCTTTTATCAAATTTAAATCCTTCACATTTTTGTAATTTTTCTATTAGTGTTACCATGTGATTAATTGTTGAATTTTCCCTTAGACTTTTATTTGTTTAAATAGCTGTTAGTTTGATTCTAAAACTCTTTAGAAAATTGAATTTTAAATATTTTTGCACATTAAGTGTTACTTTTGAGACTATATTCATCAATCACAGGTAATCACACTTTTTTCCTTGAAAAAAAAAATTGTTCTCAAATACAGTTTAACTTCCAGATACAGCACTGGTTATGAAACAACTTATGTGGATACTTATCTGTTAGAATCTTAATTTCATTTTGACAACTGAAATGGCAATTATGTTTGGAGTTGTAGGGTTGGTTATAATTAATAAATCATATTTCTGGCAGTAAAATTTGGCATTTTATTTCTGAAATCTTTGACTTCTTTCAAGATGACTCTTGGAGTTGTACAAAATTGTGATTTTTTTGACATTGCACTTTGATTCTTCAGCACTTAGCAAGCGCAACCGCAGGCACCACCGATGACGGGGGTGGCGGGGTAGGCGGGGTAGACGGAAGCGTCAGCGACGTAACCACCGTAGGCACCGCAGCCAGGAGCGTAGGCACCAGTGTAGTCACCGTAGACACCGTCGTAGGCAGCGGCACCGTAGTAAGCGGGGGCAGCGCCGTAGATAGCGGAAGGAGCGTAGGCGGGGGCGGCGGCGTAGGACAGAGCGGGGGCAGCGGCGTAGGACACAGCGGGGGCGGCGGCGTAGGACACAGCGGGGGCGGCGGCGTAGGAAGCGGGAGCGGGGACGGTCTGGGAGCTGACGATGGGCTGACCAGCCTTGGTGTCACGGAGGGTGATGGTCTTACCGGCAATAGTGACAACAGACTTGGTGCTGGATCCCTTGTTGATGATCTTGGGGGTCTTGAAGGAGACGTTCTTGGTGGTACCACCGCACTTGGCGCGGGTAGCGGCGCAGGCAGTGCTACAGTAGCCCTCGACAATGGAGGTAGACTGAGAGACGGGACCGGAGACGGCGCTGGTGGAGGACTTGACGGGGGTGGCGAAGGTGGAAGTCTGGCAGACGGGGCCGGTGGTGTAGGCGGTGGAGGGACCAGCAGAGGTACCGACAACGGTGGGGGCGTTCACGGGGACGGCGGGGGCAGCGACGGCGGGGGCGACGTAGTCAGCACCGTAGGCACCGGCGAGGGCGGGGGCGGGGTAGGCACCGGCGTAACCAGCGTAGGTGGGGTAGGTGGCTCCAGCGTAGAGGGCAGCGTCGGGGGCGTAGTTACCGTAGTAGCCAGCACCAGCGCATCCGCAGTCGAGTCCAGCGGGGTAAGCTCCAACCAGAGCGGGGGCGTCGTAGACGGCGGGGGCGTCATAGACGGCGGGGGCGGCGGCGTAGGCAGCGGGGTAGGGTCCGCAGCCGCAGCTGGGGGCGGCAACAGCGGCCTGCAATTCAACACATACGTTAGTCATCTCAACAAACCCTTACAGGAGCTGGTCTACTTACGTGAAAAATTTGGCACAAGTAATACAGTAGAGGAAATAGTACGAACCATTGAACTATACTTTGGAGAAAACTATTGCTACGAAGACAATTTGTAGAGCACGATGGTGGAGTTAGCAAGTAAAATAAAGTTTAATAAGCACTCGGATCAGATTCGAAGTTATGTCATAGTTTACTTTACTAATGAATCCATAGATTAATTCGTTAAAGTCTATTAGAAAAAATATGCACTATTAAATTAAAAATTGCGTATTCAAAACCAATCAATGACCAACCTCGATTATACGTTGGATGAAAACAATCACCTAAATAATATTTAGCTATACTTTTCCTCATTTTCTATACATACAGAAAAAGTTAATGTATAAAATATTATCGTATGAAAAATTATATTACAAGACCAAACAAGATTTTACCAAACACCAATATATCTGAACACTATCGACTTTTGGTGTTTACTAACGACTTTATATGCTGGAACTATAATTGGTACATTATTTTATGTTTCGCCTATTGAATTAACTTCAGTAATAGGAATTAACTAAACTACAAGTGTAATTTAGGGAAAATAACAAAAATGCACGACTAACACAATATAACTTCTTACAATGAACAACAAACCCCCCCCCCTCCCCATTTACACAACCCCCAATTCTTAGACAAATCATGACCTATTCAAACAAACAACCCTACCAATTGATTTCCTTTGCTTAAAGGTTAAGTAGAAATCATGTATTGAACATAATAGATATTTTCAATTTACCTGGACGAGGAGAGCCAAAGCGAGAGCAGCGACAAAAGCCATCTTGTGTTGGACTGGGGATCAATGTGTCCCTCAACCCTTCGCCGGACACTATATACCGGCTCTTATCTCCTCTATCGCTCGAATTCGAGCACATCTCACGTCTAGGTCGATCCAGCTGATAGCAGAACATTGTATGCCGTGTTGTCCAAACACACCTGATACTGGGATAAACATGCCTCCGTGCCGTGTCCGTGTACGAGATCGTGAAAAAATATCACTTGAATCTTAGTAAAACGTTATAAGTTACCTGTGATCAATATACCTTGCAAAAAATTATTGATTTTGGTCCCGATTTGTTTTTGGATCACGAATAAAGTGTGAAAAAATTTAGTATATAATTTTCGGCGGTGTAAAAATACCTAGATAGGAAAGGTTTACGGGATTTATATGGGTTTTCTTGTGCACAATCACAACAAAAATAATAATCCTTTAAAAGGTGAAAAAACTATTTGAATAATTATGAGAAAAATTATGCTGAAACATGCCCTTAGCCATATATAGTGTTGCCGTATTTTCCCTTTATACCTTTTATGGATAGCGTATTTTTAAGACATAACATGTAAAAATACTTTTAATTACTGTGCAGAGTGAGACTGAAGGATTTTATTTTGATCTGTACATAATTGAAACTATAAGCATATAGATATTTTATGTAGCTGGAAAGATCCCAGGAAATCTTTCTCCAATGTATCTTATTAAATTATGTTCACTGGAAAGATACCAGGAAATCTTTCTCCAATGTATCTTATTAAATTATGTCCACTGCAAAGATCCCAGGAAATCTTTTTCGAATGTATCGTAGTAAAGTATGTTCACTGCTTATACCTATTATATTGAGTTAAAGCAATGTTCCAAAGAAAGATAGCTTTAAATATGGCAGTTCACAAAAACACTAATGGTCATGGCCAAACTGTTGTGTTATTAGTTTTTTGTTAAAATCACAAATCTTACGAATATTGTAAAGAGATGATTTCTATTTAAATGTAAAAAGGTTTATAAGATTACTGTTAAACTGAACAAGGTTAATTTTCTAAATATTTAAATTTTTGCAAAATAATGTTCTTGGGCAATATCACTCGAATTTTGTACATTAACCTGGCCCTAGTCAATATTAATTAGTCTGTTACGATTTTTGCATTGAATTGTTTTTACCAATTAAATATCAATACCAACTCCAAAGGATATTTTCATCCTATTGGAAAATCGAAACCCTATTTTTTCGTATTTTCGTGTCCTTGGTAGTTTCAAGTTGAAGTGTGCTTTTGTTGATTAAATGTTTTTCTCTTATGTGAATAACACCATATTGCTCTTTATAGTATAAAAGAGCAAGCAAACATACGTTAATTGTTCTCAGCTAGTTTAATGGGGTAGCACATGTTAAAGGGAGTATGTTGAATAGTATGCTAATAGCATACAAATACAGCCACGACTTACATATAAATATATGATCCTAATACTCTATAATATTATTAGTGTGATAAAGTCAAAATTTGCAGCAATTATTTAAGGCCATCAACCAAATAAAAATACAGGATTATGGCACATCAAAATGAAGTTCAGAGTGAGGGGATTTCCAGAAAAGTATTGGTATGAACAAATTTCTTAAAGGGCCTGCCCCAAAGGCCGATTTCCAAAGGTATGCGCCTTACATGCTTTCGAAGTTTATACAATCTATATATTAAGGCAAGCATTTTTGTTTAAAACCTTTTTTCTCAGCTCATGTACATCGCAGGAAAAATCTACGCATATTGTTAGAAAGCTATTTTCCTGTAGATGTGCAGAATCCATTTATAAATTAAAATAAGCACACAAAATCATTTAAATTAAAAAAAAAAACATGGGCCTTATGGGTTGCTATGCTGGCGATGAAATAACAATGAAATATAAATATAATATAAAATCAAATCAAATGGAAGAAATTCCAATCACATGTTTTATTTATTTACAGTGTGTGGTGAAAATGAAGAAGACTGTACATTACATATTTTGGTCGAGTTTTCGACCACTGGACGACCTCTAGTTTAAATAATTGTATGAAACAGCTGCTCAATACAATTAATATCTGTTGGTTTATTTTACTTGAAAGGGGTAATTGTTCTTTATTTACATCGTGTACATTGAGTTATTTAGTAAGAAGGCTATGTTTAGTTTAAGATAAGTAGTAAGATTCTTGGTAGATCTTTGCTCATGATCTACTTTGGAATTTAAGTAGGTTATAGGTAAAGATGATTGGCTGAAATTGAAGAATTAGCATAAAACATCTTTATATTACGAAATATCACTATCAAGTGATTCATTTTATTGCTACACTACGGTATGTTGTTAGATTATTTTGGATCTATTGACTTCAACTTTATGTAGGGTTTTGAAAGTAAGTTGGTCTTCTCTTTTAAAGTTCTTTATAAATTAAATCACACTAATACAGTATAAGGGATAAAATAGATCACTTTCTGTTCATAAAATGAATATACAACCAGTTATAAAGGAAGTTTATCAGCATCCCTGAATATTTGAAAGCGAATTCAAGAAATAAATCAAACGCTAGGTTAGCGAAAAACAAAATTAAATTAGGCCTACCTCTTTTGTTACCATTTGTCCATCCGCTAGATAATATTTTTTTAAATAACCCTTCATACGTAAAAATCAGTTAAGAAGGACGGTTGGAAAAGGATGTTACAGAGAAAATCCTTATTGTATTAAGTATATAGAATTGCTTTACATTTTAGACCCATGAGTTAGGTGTGAGTCTACGTGAAAAGAACGAAGTCTACCAAGTTGCCTTCCTCGAAGAATCCCTCAAACACTTTTCTTCTAGACTGTATTAAGTCGATTTTAATCACGCGAGGGATTTAATAAGTACTATAATTATAGTTTTATGATAATTCAAACCAAAATACAGCAAAACTCTGTGAAATTACTCTTCTATTCTCTAAATGATAGTATTTCGTAGACTAGTTTATTTTTTTAACTCAGGTGAGTTATAGATTACAGTTAATTGATTTCTCAAATGCATTCAAAATAATATTGATATTTAAAATTATTAAATATGAATTTTCATGCCCACTTTACTTCTTTCACTTCACGATTCGTTTTGCTATTTAATCTGACGTTGTGAATTGGTAGAACAATGTATTTTAATAAATTCTACTTCTTTATCATAGGTATTGTCGTTTGAACGTACGATGCTCTTGTGTTCATTTCGTGATCGTATGCGTTCAATCTCCATCCATACATTATTGAACTATGAACATTTCAGATTACAAGGTGGCTAGTTCAATCCTGAAATGATAAAAGTCGAAGTGATTTCGGCTATTCATGCTACTTTTAGTCAAGGTCGATTTTATTGAATACGTGTTTGGATTGCCCTCTACAAAAATGTAAAGATTCCATTTTCGAATCTAAATGAATCATAGCTATTTTAAATAATTCTTAGAAATCTAAATTTCACCCATAAATTTATCGATAACTCAAAAAATTACTAAGACGAAATAATTTTGGTTAAAAATCCAAAACTCCATTGGCTTAACCACAAATTTACTCTTCGTACTATTCTTGACCGTTTACACGTCCATCGTCCAATTACATAATCGTACGTTTGCAATCAAAATCGCACATCAATGTCACCCACCTGTTCACCTTCAGATAGGGAAGATCGGCTATCGGTCACGCTCAACCTCAGCTTCGATACCGACATTCTAGGGTTCATACACTCTGTACCAAGCATTGGGGCAGGTCAACGCCCAAAAATTGATAAAAAAATAAAATAAATTGTTAAAAAATAAAATTCAAAAAAGCAAAAATTACAACGATGGTGGGATGAGATGGAAATTTTCCAATGGGAAAAAACTATCCCCGATAAAATCCTTTGGGGAAATTTCTATACGGAAAATAAGGAGAGGGAATTTATTTAAAAAAAGTCACGAAGACAATTGTAGCAAAGATGAACGCCCGCAAGGCGGATTCCGACCTTGGGTCTGCTCTATCACTGGCATCAGGGAGGCCGCGGGTTCATTCATTCCCTTATAAATACTCACTTTTTGCCGGGAAAATCACATTCACTCCCAACAGTCCAAAATGGTCTCCAACGGATTCGTCGCCCTCTTCGTCGCCGTCGCCATCCAGGTAAGCGCCATTTTGAGTTCGGGAAAGTTTGAAATATTACAGATGTTTAAAGTTTTCACACTCATTTGACGTTTCAACATTTTATTTCGCTATCCATTTTTAACTTAAAACATTTCAAAGTTCAAAATTCCAAATCGTTCATCCCCTTTAGGGAACATAACTGTATTTAAATTTTTGACGAGTACTTTTTGGTTTCGTTGAAAATATCAACATTAAAGTAAAAGTTATGTTTAGTCGAGACGATTTTGATCTTCGTTCATATATCGGTTTCCTGCTTGGCAAGCATATTGGTGACCCTATAACCTTGAATTGAGCAGAAACAGCAAATATTGCCACTACGCCGAACTGTTGCCTCATCCGGGTTAGACACACAATTATGCTTGGACAATACTGAGACGGAAATTCGTGACATTATTGTTAAAATATACCAACGTAAAGAGTAATTTTCATTAAATTATTTAAATAAGTAGTTAATCCATGTTTTGATCTTTGAATGCATATTTCTTGAATTGAAAACCCCCTTAAACACAATGGCTTTGGTTTGAATTATGTAGGATACTGTAATTTGATTATTCATTACTTTTTGAAATTTTCAAACAGTGAAGCTGATTTTTTATACACAAATATAACTCTTAGATACCCAAAATGAGACCAAGATTTGTATTATGATGTATAAGAACGCCCCAAAATTAGTATTTTTGAATAAAATATATTTTTGATCTCCAATGGATAAAAAGGGTTGGAAACAAACCATGTTTCAAATTAAAACGTCATAAAATAATTAAACTATTAAAACCCCATTGAATTACGACTTGGAGAAGTGTTTCGGAGTTTATGAGTTACCAGCTTAGGTCATTAGCCTTCTATTCTGGAAACTATTAGGTATGTTGGAAATAAAGCAACTTATTAGAGTTAGCAATGTAAAACTGAATAAATTGATTAAAATATTAAATAAGCGTCAATTCACAACTACTACGTTTCCTTGAGTTATTACTCGCCGATGAGATGGAGAAGCGAAAATATCACTACATTCAGCATAAAGAAGAGTTTATTTGTAACATAAAACGACTTGGCTACTGGTACAATACTTGACTCAGTAACAATAGGAAAATGTGATTTTAAATGGAGCTGTAAGTTGAGACCGAAGCAGCACAGTTCTAGTATTAGTTCGTAACGTGAACAGAAAACCCGTGATGTAGTTGAATTCTTTAAAATTTCAATGATCTTTGTTTTGACGAAGTATTGTTTTTGCAGGCCGCCGCCGCTCACTACTACGACGGCTGTGGCTGCGACCCCGTCCCCAGCTGCGAACCCGCCTACACCGTGGGCTGCTGCCCCGGCCCCGTCGTCGAGAAGAACACCGTCGTCAACAAGGCCGTCAACGTCCCCTACACCTACCAGGTCCCCACCTACTCCAAGAAGTGCTACCAGCAGCCCGCCGGTGTCGACAAGAAAGTCATCCCTTCCACCTACGAGACTTGCCCCGTCTGCGAGACCTCCCAAACTATCGTCAAGGTCCCCACTACTGACATCGAGGTCCAGCAGACCCCTCTGTGCAAGAAGACCTGCACCACCAGCGAGTACATCATCCAGATCCCCATCGTCGAGACCACCTGCACCAGCACTCCTCTGTGCAAGAAGACCGTCAAGACCCAGGACAACCTTTTGACCACTTGCGCCAGAAAGACTTCCTGCGCCAAGCAGGTTTGCACCCAGAACAAGGTCATCGAGACCCCCTTGACCAGCACTGTCTGCCAGGACTACCAGGGATCTATCTGCAAGACTGGTTGCAAGACCGTTATCCAGCCTGAGATCAAGAAGTCCTGCGTTCAGCTTCCTCCCTACAAGTGCCTGAAGCCCACTGGCTACTCTGCCCCCGCCTACGGTGCCTACGCTGACGCCGCCTACCCCGCTGCTTCTTACTACCCCGGCGCTTCTTACCCCGCCGATTCTTACTACCCCGGTGCCTCTTACGCCGCCGACTCTTACTACCCCGGCGCTTCCTACTACTCCGGTGCCTACGACGGTGCCTACGCCGACGCTGTCTACCCCGCTGCTGCTCCCTGCGGTTGCGGCTGCTAAGTAACAATCATTTCACAAGACTGAACCAAATTTTGGGAATTATTTTTGAAAAATATAAATTAATTGTTGATGTAAACACCTCTTTTACTTTACAGTTTCCTTGTGTCTCCTAATTTAGTCTTATGGCTTTAAATCCTGTCTAATGAAACAGCTGATTACAATTATCAGCTATTCTAACAATTGTCAGCTGATTACAGCTGATTATTGTTAAAAAGTAACAAAGCCACCCAAGGTGTCTTACCTTATTATACACCATCCAATCATATTATGGTCTTAGTGACTTATCCATCTTGAAATTGATCATGTATAACAGAAACAAGACTTATTTATAATTGTTTTAAGCTCCATAACTGTTACATTGATTTCACGTGGTAAGCAATAACACTCTGGCAATGTTAAGAGGCTTATTTAACTATCAACTATCGAATACTTGGATTTTTCTGAATTGTAAGTAACATTAGGGAACATGACTCAATCAATGTACAGTAGAAACTAGGATAAAAAAAGAAAAATAACAACAAAAGAATTACAAAATTTAATTTCTCTTCGTCCTGTATCCATATGTTTACGCCAAACTAAAGCTAAAATGAAATTCATCTTCGCCTTTTTTTGTACGAACTATAAAATGAAAACTCTTGCTTTGTCAACGCTCATGCTCTTACAAACACTTTTACAAACTCTTAAACAAAAACCGTGCCCCTCTCACCATAAGGAAAACCGGCATTTGAATCAACCTAACAATTTTAATCTCTCGCTACGTTCGCTCACAAAGCGACTTGGTGACTATTTTTAAATTCCAGACAGTCTAACAAAGATAGCTCGAGTTAGACTAGATTGTTATGACAAAACCGAGTACATAATCTAGTTATCTGATAATTTCAAACAAAAGACTAACTCAGTCATATTGCTTGTGGAATAGTTTTTGTTCAAAGAACATAGAGTCTAAAGAATTTTAAAGTAGAATAATTTCTCTTTAAATTAAACGACATTAATTAACAGAAGATTATTTGTTTTATCTGTGTGAGTTAAAGAGTTGAAATTCAGATAACATTTGCTTAGTGCAATACATTAAAGTAACCGATTTTATTTTTTATCAAGTGAAGTACTCACTGCAAAAATGAATAACATAAATAAATATTGTATGTTATTCAATATTTTATATCGACTTCAACGCAACTAACGTACATTTATGCTATATATTAATGATATATTTATCGATTTTATGTTTTGACATTGAATCTGCTCAAGTAGGATGAGTAAAAACTACTTATACTTAAATAGTAATGTACTTTACTAGATTCGCGTTAGTAACCAAGTACTGTCTACGGTCGTGTTATTTATGATATGGTTTAAAAATATTCTGGAAAAGTTAGTGTAAAATCAATAACATTTCCACAATATGGGTTTACATTTTCAACCAATATTTAGTAAATAAGGTCATCGTATTGGAACGACAGCATGAAATATTCATAATCAAGCAAATCTAAGTCCTCTATGCCAGTCACACGAAAATATCCTATGCTCAAATTTACTTAGAGTTTTTTTCTTGAACACTGTTCATGAATGAACTTATTATACGTGTTTCTACTATATATAGTTAAAAATATAACCCCAGTGTTAACTAATAGATAATTTTGTTACTCGTTATAAAGATGCTACGAATATCCAAATAAATTTTTCTCATAATTCACTCGTAAATTGTTGATTGGAGTCGATATAGAATAATTTGGTCTTTCCCAATATTCGAGGTCTCCCCATAATGAGACCTAGTAGACAAAACTATAGATTGCTAATTGCAATCTATTTTACTGTCCTTAAGTTTATAAAAAGGTACTGTAATCTTCTCTAAGTAGTATTAACAGTCTTAAATTTTTAATCCTGGACTGAAAATCGAAAAGACATGTTATGCGTTCAAGAATACAATTTAAGTGAAAAAATTATCTGGTTAGGAAATATTAAGCTACGTCAATGGAAATTGTATACTGATTTAGTAGCTGATGTCTGGTAACTGATACCCAAATATTTAATCGAATACAAAATTAGTTTTACTAGATAACTATGTTTTATATAACACTTGGTGAACAATCCATTCTTTAACTAGTAGATTCTCACAAAAGAATTTGACAATATTTTGAATGTTTGTAATGAATTTTTAATGTTATTGATATGTACATATAACTTATCACACAAATCAATAACCTTTTTTTTGAACGTAGGAACTAAATGAAAAACGAGTAACAACAAAAACTAAATTAATATTCGTTGAGGGACGTTTTCTTGAATAGATTTGTCAATATAACATGGCTATTTAATTGTAATTACACTACTGTATTAGTTATTTGGCAATTTTTTATACTGTACACACTTTTAAAACTAAACAGTTTCTAGGTACTACACTAGTATCGTGCTAGGACTGATTATTCAATTTACATTGAGTTGAAATTAGAAATTGCTCACTTTGTGTTATGATCCCGAAACAAAATTCGTCTACAAAGACATTAAATGTGGCATGTTTAAAATCAGAGCAAGACGAGACTACAGTAAGTGTTATGTAAAGTAACTTTTTCAACATTTCAATGTATAATTGTAAGTAAACTTATTGAATTATTAAAACGTCTCAACTAAAAGGGACAAGATTACAAAAGGGAAACAAATATCCCATTCGTAATATTAAGTAGAATTAATTCGAGTGCATAGAAGAAATCGACGAGTTACATTCTGTCATTTATTTAAACTATGAACAATATCGTATATTTGTCAAGCGTAGATGTAAATTAAGTAGGCCCCTACACCAAGGGTTAATTCCTTTAATTTACCCACCTTTAATTTAGTCTCAAAGCACCAAAGAAGTCAAATTATTTTTAACATATTTGGCTGGACCCATAATTTCAAAGCCAACACATATTGATTGTGGATTAAATACCCATTAATTAGCATGGCCCTATATTAGACATGATGATGATTGGAGCGTAGAATTGGATGTATGTATGTTGTAGGTGTTTGTTCATTTGTAATTTATATACGACATCAGTATTTTTTCTTCAAAGGAAACAGTCATTTTTGTTAGAAAGCATCATCAATTTATTGACCTATGAGAAATGGTCTCTGACTGGATTTGAACCAACGACCTTCAATCTTAAAGGTGAATACTAACTCGGTATTTTGTCAAAGATATTTTATACGTCCAATATAACCAACGGTTTATTTCATGTACAAGGAAAAGTGGTTTTAACATTTTTTTTAACACTGATCTAATCAAAACAACCCCAATAATCGATACGTATCAATAATCGGTAAATGATTTGCTACTACTTAGTTGCGCTAGTGATTGCGAGATGAGTTATCGGCCTATCGCCGTTTGATCGGTGCGAACATCCTTGACGGTACCTGCCCTATCAGCCGGACAGCAATCAACATTTGATTGCGCGGGTATATATACTCTCCATGCTCATCCCTTGTATCATCTGCCAACCTCACTCAACATGGCCCTCATCCGTTCTATCGCTGTGGTCGCTGTGGCCATCGCCTTCGCCCAGGTAAATACTTTTAGGTTAGGCCATAGAGGAAGATGTATTTCATATAGTATAAACATTATCTGATTGAACGCTGGCCCTCGCCTTTGTCCGGGTAAATATTTTAGGTTAGGCCATAGAGGAAGATGTATTTCATATAGTATAAACATATAGCACTGCCACTGGCTACAACATCCGATTGATAGAAAGAAGTGACCCTCGCCTTTGCCTGGGTAAATACTTTTAGGTTAGGCCATAGAGGAAGATGTATTTCATATAGTATAAACATATAACACTGCCACTGGCTGCAATATCCGATTGATCATAGTGGCCCTCGCCTTTGCCCAGGTAATTTTTTTTGGGTAGGTTAAAGATGTTTACATAGAGTATGAACGTAGAGCAATGAGTATAAACATATGTATGAAAATGCAAACTGTGCTTTTAAATTACACTGCTATGATGTTATTTTTGTATTGAAAAGTATGTACTAGTGTACAGTATACACTTTTTCACACTTAACAAAATATGAAATGCTTGGTATTAAAAAAGTGATACAATAATTTACTTTTTGAATATAATTTTTTATGTGAATAAATGAAAATATTCTTGTTCCAATAATTAAAAATATCGTAAAAATAGCTAACCACGCGTAAAACTCTTCAGGCTGGGCTATTACGGTAGTAACAATTTTAAGCAGTATAAAATAAATGGTCCAGTTTTTAATTTGAATGACAACCCCTATTTTTTTTTTTTTTTTTATAACCAGAATGTGATTCATAAAGTAAATTTTGTTTTATAATGAGAAAGTCTTCAAACCCTGGTTGTGGTGGTCCTCTGAATTCACATATATTAAACAATATGAAAAAGTCAATTTTTGTTGGACATTAATCTATGAATAAATATAAAAAAAATATTGCTCAAATATAAAATATATTTGGTACACTTACGGGAATGTAGCTTCAAATTATTGTTAGTGCATGAGAACAATTTGACTTCAAACAAATCCCTTAATTTTTATATATCTCCTATTTTAACATTTAAATTTATAATTCAACCTATAATATAGTTTATCAATAAACGGACATTGTAGCAATTCAACTGATGACCATTCAGTGAGATTCCAAATGTTTTGACAACTACAATTGATTGTTTGATGCTTATTCCAATAACTCCTTGCTGATGTTTGTAAAATGTGTCAAGTTGTAGTAAACTGTTGTAGTGCCTGGAACCTCAATGTTAGTTATGACCTATTTGATCCAAACCATTATCTTTTAGTAGCATTGACTACATATAGTAGTTAATTGTTAAATTGATTAGTAGAATACCACAGACAATGTCTTCCACTTAGGTATCAGGGTACCTGATTATACAAAACTGCACAAATTACTTTGCAACAAACTAACAGCTGTTCTTGATCATCTGGTTTTTAATAAATGATCCTTACTAATGGCACAGTTGGTCTTAGTCAGCTTAACAAAGCTACAAGGCATCCATTCTACACTAAACATTGACTCATATTTGGGACGCACATAGGTGGCGTCCCCATCTCAAATGATGATCATGATAACAAACACATGGTGAACACATGGTGGTGGTGGTTATGGTGAATCTAATTGCAATAAGTATTGGTTAAGAGTTTGCAGTTAAAAATACTAAATACTGTTATCTGACATGTATACTTTTAAAAGGTACTAGCTGAACCCGGCAGACGTTGTCTTGGCTTTGACTATTTATAATTTAAGTAACGTTACGTTTAAATTTCAAGATGATCTTGTTCGCATGGCTCAATCACGTCCTGGTTGAAATTTGTTCGCTAAGCTCACTCACCTTTAGGTTGGAGCTCGTTCGCTACGCTCACTCACCTTTAGGTTGGAGCTCGTTCGCTGCGCTCACTTGCCTTCAGGTTAGCTCGTTCGCTACGCTCACTTGCCTTCAGGTTAGCTTGTTTGCTACGCTAACTCGCCTCCAGTTTGAAGTTCGTTCGCTACGCTCACTCACCTTTTAGTTGCAAATTAGCTGTTGTCATAAATGTAAAAGAAATAATAGTGCTGCACCCTGTTAGTAATCCTTGTAACTTTAATGGTATTGAACATCATAGAACAGAACCAACTTGTTTAATTGAAACAGCTGTTAAGATTCATTAATTCCATTTCTCATAAGGTTATCATGGGAAACTCCAGAGCCACTGGGGCGGAGCCGATTGGACGGATCACGAAATTGATGGTGTATAAACCTATTCCATGAAATTCTACACGTATGTACCAAGTTTCGTGGCAATCGGTTCAGCGGTGTCTGAGTTTATCACTGCCAAACAAGTACACAAACATCCTCTTTTATACTTATAGATTATGAAAAGAATATACATACAATACAAAAATTATGTAGACAAAATTTTGATAATACACTTGAGTTGTGTTGGGCCAAGAACCTTTTTGCAGTTATAAAATAAATAATAAAACATCTTGGGTCAATGTTATATCCATTAAGGGAACATCATTCTACAGTAGCATGTTGAAACATTCCTTTCCACATTGACACTCTTGGTTTTCGGGTAAAGCTTTTGGGGGAAATAATATCAACCACATTTGTGTAGTTGTGATTTATTGTCTGTAATAATGAAATCAAATTAACGTGAAACTCTTTTGCAGGTGTCCTCCGCTTCCTGCGGTTGCTACGACGGTGGCATCATTGGAGGCCCTGCTGCCTACGATGGCTACTACGGTGATGCCGCCTACGGTCTTGCCGGTTACGGTGCCAACTACGGTGCTGTCTACGGTGCTGGCTACGGTCTTGCCGGTCTTGCCGGTTACGATGCTGGCTACGGTGCTGCCGGTTACGGTGCTGCCTACCCTGCCTACGCGGAGGGATGTTGCGCTGGACCCGTCGTCGAGAAGAACACCGTTGTCAACAAGGCCGTCACCGTCCCCTACCAATACTCCGTCCCCACCTACTCCAAGAAGTGCTACAACTCCGTCGCCGTCGACCGTAAGGTGATCCCCGCCACCTCCGTCTCCCAGCAGTGCGCTGACCAGATCACCACCGTCAAGGTCCCCACCACCGACATCGTTACCCAGCAGACCCCTCTGTGCAAGAAGACCTGCACCACCAGCGAGTACATCATCCAGATCCCCATCGTCGAGACCACCTGCACCAGCGCTCCTCTGTGCAAGAAGACCGTCAAGGCCCAAAGCAACCTGTTGACCACCGTCGCCCAGAAGACTGCCTGCGCCAAGAAGGTGTGCACCCAGAACAAGGTCATCGAGACCCCCTTGACCAGCACCGTCTGCCAGGACTACCAGGGATCCATCACCAAGACCGGAGCCAAGACCGTGATCCAGCCTGAGATCAAGAAGTCCTGCGTTCAGCTTCCTCCCTACAAGTGCCTGAAGGCTACTGGCTACTCTGCCCCCGCCTACGGTGCCTACGCTGCTGCTGCCCCCGCCTACGGTGACTACGCTGCTTACGCTGCTGCCCCCGCCTACGGTGCCTATGCTGGTGACTACGCTGATGTCTACGCCGCTGCCCCCGCCTACGCTGCTGCCCCCGCCTACGCTGGCTACGCTGCTGCCCCCGCCTACGCTGGCTACGCTGCTGCCCCCGCCTACGTTGACGGTGGTTACTACGGTGCCCCCGCCTGTGGTGGATACACCGGTTGCTGCGGACACTAAGTCAAAACAGTTGCAACACGATCACACGATGAAAATGAAATTTGATATTTCATTGTAACAAAAGAATCACTCTTGGTCACAATAAATATTACGTGTTCCTCTCTCAAAACTGTTATCCTCTTTTCACTCTCCTAGCTTTATCATCCACCCACCTTAAATTAACAAAATAATCAAATACAACCAGTTTAATACAAATACAATCTTGAAGAAGAAATAACTTACAACCAGTTTGAAAAGATTATAATTTCAACACAGTACTTAGAAGTAGGTTTTGAAAATTAACGGCTCACTTTAATAGAAATGGCATGTTAATAATGTGATAGCTAGAAATAGCATCCACTATTAATTCCTTAAATCAGTCAAATGCACAGTTTTAATTTTTTTACTTAAATTGATTAAAGAAAGCATACTAACAAGTGAGCTATTATTGAAATTCTATTGTCTACATTAGTTTTCAAATTGTAGTAGTCGATAGGAACATAAAAGATACTATATTTATATTTTATAATAAGTCAACTTTTTAGTTTCCGGTAAGCATGATCCATACTACTATAAAATAAAAATACTACAGTATAATTGAGCGGAGCGAAGCGAAGCTCTTTGGGATCAACTTCAATGCAATCTTTATATAACTTAATCTCAATAACGGCTGAACATATTTTAGCCAAACTTACCAAGGTTGTTTTGTTAAATGTATGGATGGTTTTTACATAAACAATTTAAATTTTTGATAATGATTATATTATTTTAAAGTAACTCAAAGATTTTAAATTTTAACATTGGCATTATGGGTTGCCATGATGGTTACAAAATAACGACGTAAATTTAAACAAAATAAAGAATTATAGCATATGTTAAAGTCAAGCCACGGCCTAAACACAGTACAAAGGAAAAAAAATCTGGATGATGATAACTGATCAAATAGTTCAGAGCATGGTGGACGGAAAATACATAGGTGTGCTATTCCCATGATATGCTGACGTCACCCAGATTGCAATCAAAAAATCAGCTGATTGTATTGCCATATAAGTATATATTTGTTTTGATTTGATTGTTATTGTTTTCATAATTTTTCTAAATAGTAAAATGGTGTTTGCAATCTGAGTGACGTCAGCATATGACGGGAGTAGCACGATTATGTATATTCCTTCCACCATGAATACAGAGAATGTCTTAGGTTTACGTTTAAGTCGCAATTTGGAAACGTGATCGTATAGGTACAGTCATGGATAAAGCATACTTTCTTATGTACAGTATTTAACAGATTTGATTTACGTAGCTAAATAAGGTTATAACAAACAACATTTTATCTTAAACAATTCTTCTGTGAATCACATTCATGGATCCATCTCATAAATGGCAAACTTAAAAAGGTCAACGACGATTTGTGAAGGAAGTAGTAAGGGCGAGAAGTGCGGAGTGTGGGAAACGTTTGTGGCAGTTATACATTAATGAATCTGCACTACTAAAATGTTATGGGAAGGGAGGGGAAACAGGTCCAAGAAGTAGGAAGTGGTGAAGGAAGTAGTAAAGGCAAGAAGTGCTGAGTGTGGGAACCGTCTGTGGAAGTTTCATTAATGTACCTGCAATCCTAAAATGGTGTAGGAAGGATATATGTATGTAGGAAGTGGTGAAGGAAGTAGTAAAGGTGAACAGTCCGGAGTGTGAGACCTGTCTGTGGCAGTTAGATTAATATATCTGCAATCCTAAAATGCGATGGGAAGGGAGGGAAACAGGTCCACAACGTTGGAAGTGGTGTAGAAGGGAGTAAAGGCTGGCAGTGTGGTGTGTGGGAACCATCTGTGGCAGTTAGATTAATGTATCTGCAATCTTAAAATGCTCTAGGAAGGGGTGAAGGAAGTAGTAAAGGCTAAAGGTGCCGAGTGTGGGAACCGTTTGTGGCAGTTAGATTAATGTATCTGCAATCCTAAAATGCGATGGGAAGGGAGGGAAACAGGTCCATGACGTAGGAAGTGGTGAAGGTAGTAGTAATTAAGGCTAGCAGTGCAGAGTGTGGCAACATGTGTATTTTGTATTATATCTAAAAACATTTTTTTCACTTATTGCTTTATTTAAAACCATTAAACATGATTGCTCTGCTCAACTGGCTTTCACTGATGTTGTGAAAGCAATCCTAGTATAATAAAGAAATTGATGTTTAACACCAGCACAAGTTACAAGCTATTTGTAGTTTTTGGTCTTCAGTCAGTTGCATAACAATTTTTTTTAACACTTGAATTGTTCAACTAGCTTACAAAACAGCTGATTTCTCAAAATTTTACTCTAAGATGTAACTAGAATTACTCGAATTTAAGCATAACGTTTTCCTCGGAGTTATGTTTCATACTATGCGGCTCATTGAGCCACACGGGTACTCTAGTTCTCCACTATTGTACATAATCATTACTGTATAGTTTCATTGACTTTTGTATTCCGAAGTAGACATCACTCCATCGACTAGCTGCAGGTTTAGTCGATTGGGAATGCAGGAATGGAAGTCCCACCCTGCTTTTTTCAATAATCCTATAAGTATAAAAATCCTAAAATTTAGTCAGTTCTTGGATGATGGTGAGTGTTACCACACTCGAAATTTTACGACTACACCACTATGATTAGCTGTTGCCAACTTTTTTTTAAGAAAGAACATAGTTATGTGAACCAGTCACAGATTGCTAGTGTATAAAATTCTATTTTCTATATTTTGGCTGGTTAACGTGACATAAAATATCCTACCAGTTTAACTTGGTTAAAAAGTCTGCATATTCTGGTCTAGCTGGTCCATACGTAGAGGGAGGGTCTAATACAGTATCCAATGGCAATGGTATTGAGTGTTAATGCATTGACAGGTAATTTTTATGAGTGTGGTGTCTTCTTTTACCAGCCTGTCCACATCATACATAGCTGTTTGTAGATTGTAACCAGCAGAGCAGAGCAAGGAGTGAGTGAGTTACAGTACAAGGGTGACTGATACAAGGGGGCTACCACAACTAACTGTAATTTCTGTCCTAACTCATAATTTCTAATGTTAAAGCTTTGATAGATTTGTTGATAGAATTTCAATTAAAGACATTTATAAATATAAGGGAAATCTATTCAGTAACCAAGCTGTATCAATAGATAAGTGCTTCATAAAATGGCATTGCTGAAAAATGAACTTCCATTGACATTGAAATTTGATTCTAAGTATTAGCATTGACTAGAGGTGTAGTCAATGGTACTAGTTATGCCAACAATTTTTGGATTTATGATCTCTATGGGCTCTGCTGACAATATATTGGGTTGAAGAATAATATAGGGTATTTTTCATGCAACCAAAAATACAACTACAGAGTTTCAGTGTTTAGGGACAAAACAAGATCATATGCTCCTTTTCATTGAAAAAGTATTAAAAAGTATTAAAGCCCTGCTTCTCTTATATCATTTTTGATCAGCTGTTTTAGCATTGTTTTCTACACAGTTTGAGTTTATTTATATTGGGAATTTACTGTGTATAAGACTCAACATGGGTTTTCACAAGCTCAAAGAGTTTGTATTGTAGAATAATTACCAATAATGAATACATACCCTGTACAGTATGCAATTAAGTTTTCTGGTGAGATTCCAGTATCTAATAAATCAACTAAGGCTATACAAACGTAAAATAAATTATGATAGCTACTTTTTCCCCCACAAGTGTGCATTATCAATCTTTAAGCACCTGGGGACCAAGCTATGACTTGGTATAGTTATTTGGATTGTAAAACCAATATAAAGGAAATTCTCGATTTATGTACAACTAATTTTGGCTTTTATTATTTAAGTTTTGGTGAAATTTCAATGGTCATGATGGAAATTTTCCTAAATACAGCTGTCTAAATTATATAAACTATAAAAAAGGGAGCATTGTAAAATCTACCTTTAAATAAGAGTGAAACGAGTTGACGCCAGTCACAGAGTAGAGAATAAAAGTTGTTATTCTATGCTCTATGACACCTGTGAACTTAAACGTCACCAACACGGAACGGAACACTCATCCACACCTGCTCTATTTTCCCCTATTGATTAATATTCTATGTAAAAAATGTAACCTTTTGCTCAATAGTACAACTGATATTTTTACCTTTGTACTCTATTTTGTAGTTTAGTATTACTGTGGATGTGTTGTTATAAACACATGTTACAACACAAGTATTTTGTTTACTTTTTCCTTGTTATTTTGTTCAACCAAGATAATAACTTAGCAACCCATAAGGCCAATGTTAAAGTTTTAAATTTTCAATTGAGTTGTGTAGTGAAATAAAAATTTTCATGTAGTGCCTGTCGCCAATCAGGTTTTTAGGGCTAGAAGTCCCTTATTCCAAAATTTAGTCAAAATCCTTCTGCTAGATAAGTAATTAATAATACTCAGCACCAATTTATATAGTAAAAATGAAATGGTTCTCAATGAAAAACACAAAGTCATACAAAATCCACACATTTTTATTTCTACATGTGTACAATAAAACTCAAAGTTTTAAAACTACAAAAGTTATTAAGTACTTAGGACATTTAGACAGCATGTACCAATCAGTTAAACATTTGATTTGGTTACAAGACTAAGAGATTATATTATATTGCATTTTTGAGAGCAGTCTTCTTCTAAAACATTTTCCCCGAGTAAATTAGGCCTAATTTTTAAAGAAAGCGGTTGAGAGGGTCTCCACTCGTTATGATAACATCAGCTCCCCCGCCGCCGTTGCACTGGCTACAACGACGTACATAATCGTAATAATCCTCATACTCCAACGGATCGTATTCTGAGTAGGACCGGCGACGATTCTTCCTCATACGTCTATGTCTTCTCTTTCTATAACAGTCTTCATGGTCGTCATCTTCTACTTCTTCGGAACACTTCTTCTTCCATTCTTTCTTCTTCTTGCATTCCTTGCCTTTGTCTTTCTCCCCCTTCTCCTTCTCGTTTTCCTGATCCTTCTTCCCCCCGACGATGACCGACTGGACGACACACGGGTGGTTTCCGGGGTTAGCCAAGTGGGGGAGTAACTTTTTACTCTCTGCATCGCTGAGTCCGGGTATAGACGGGTGGTTCGGGTGAGGTCGGGTTGTTGGGTGATGTCCTGGTTCAGGATACTG